TTTTTTTCTGGGCCTCAGCTGGCCCCGTATACATGTTCCATTATATCGTAAGGCGATGGTTATCTACATTACGTGGAAATGTGGCACACAGATGTCGGTGTCTGTGTCTGCCGCGGACTGCTGTCCTCGACACAGCATTGTTACGGCGGCGACAAAAACACGCGCTCGTCGCCCGTCGGCGGCGCGCTGGGCCGCCGCAGCTCGTGGCTTTGTGTCGTCCACAGCTGTCACAGCCCTCTGCGGGGTATAAGACGGTGTAGCTGAGTGTGTGCCGGTGCACCGCGCACCGCGCTCACTCGCGCTCGACCAGCCGCTCGGCTTAATGATTGTCGTCGGCCCACAAACGGCCGACGTATTGCATTATGCTGATTTATATGTCGGCGGCGGGTGCATCAGGCGGCCGAGTGGCCGGTTTTACGACGGTTTGACGGCTGCTTTCGGCTGCCGCGGGCCGGTATCAGGCGGCGAATGTCGGACCGTTTCGGAAATGGAATCAGCGCCGGCGGAGCGGGTTCGACGGGTGCCTTTGTTACGGGTTACCTTTCTTTCGTCTGAACTGCTCGCCTCCTTCCGCCAGGCCTCGTCCCTGTCACGTCCGGTTTGTCAGCACATGTCGTGCCGCTGTCACCGTATACGTCTGTCTGTGGCCGGCGGCAGCTGCTGCTGATCTCACAACTCCAACACCGTTGAGTGGCCTGTGGTTTTTGTTGTTCGTGCCATCCAGATATGATTTACTGCCCGGCCGCCGTGTCGGCCACCCAATAAATAGCTGATTGTCGATAAGTGATGACGCCGATAGGTCGACTCGTGACACGCCGTCGGGGACCGCGGCCGCGCCTCATTGGCCCGTGCTCACCGTCTGTGGCAGCAATCAAACCAATGACGCCACGTGTGACGAAATAATGATGTCATTGACACGTCTTGATCACCGAGTGTAGACTAGGCCGCTCGTTACGGGGCAAATAGCGGCCGCAAATCGGACGGCAATTGACACAGGCGTCAGCAGTGAACCGGCCGAATGCCGACCGGACCGATCGGAACCCCGGTTTGACGGCAGTTCGGGGGATTTAACGGCAGTATCGATCGACCGGTCATACCTGAGGTGGTCGGCACCGAGCAACGACACCGGCCCTGTCGAAATCCGTGCGGTGGCTCGCGCTTTCTCTGCCTCTCTCTCTCTCTCTCTCTCTCTCTCTCTCTCTCTCTCTCTCTCTCTCTCTCTCTCTCTCTCTCTCTCTCTCTCTCTCTCTCTCTCTCTCTCTCTCTCTCTCTCGCTCTTCTCTCAGTCTGCCATCCTCTCCCATTCTTTTTTTTTGTAAGTTCCTCGCCCCCTTCCCTCTTTTCCCGTCTCTTTTCCTTAGTCTAGTGTGGGATTGTATTTCCTCTCCCCAGTCTGTTGTGAGTGGTGCCCCCACCCCGGTCTCCAGCGTGGATTGCGGCTGGGCGTTCACCAGTCAAAGCCGACTCGAGATGGCCATAAGCCGCTCTAATGGGCTAACGGCACCATTTCGTGCTCGCAATGGCTGGATGATATTCCTTGAGCCATAATTTCCGCGACAGCGGGCCGACCGGCCGGGCGGCAAAGGTCGGCCGCGCGCGGCTCGCTCGGCCGTAAAGCACCTCTATTGACAGGTGGGATAGATGGCCGCGCTGCCGCTGCCGCTGCCGCTGTGCTGGCCCGCTGAGCGGCTGGTGCCGGTGATAGCGGGCCAGCGGAGAGCCGCTGTCAGAGGGCACCATGCGGCGCCCGCCTCACCAACGGCATGTGGGCCGCGGTGTGCTGCCTTCTTCGGCACCTATTCTGGCAATCTGAGACCGCCTTCCGGGTTTTTAAGTAGCGACTGATCTTGCCGGCTAATGGACTTAGTAGGTGACATGCACTAAGCCTCGAGACTTTCATCCGTCATCTTCAAGCCGCCTTTTGACTTGCTTCCTGGCTAAATAACGGCTCGATCAAACTGATGGCGTGTTCTGAGTGTCGGGCAAACAGTATTACCGCTGAGATGACGCCCTGCCTGCGCTGAACCGTGACGGAGATATGCGCAGCTCCGTGCGGCGATCAGTTCCCGGCGCGGTGTCGTCGGCCCGTGCCGCGCCTCAGGTGAGGGGACGGTATCAGCGGTCTCCTGGGAACCACCGCGACCCGCTGCTGGTTCTGATGGTAACCCCGCACGGCACCGAGTGACGACCGCCGTGTCACGGCACAGGGTAACGACCGTGACGCGTCACGGCGCCCCGTGAGCTGTCACATAGAGTGCGGTGGTCCTGGTGTGTTACTTGGGGCATTCCACGATAGATCGTACCAGGCCCGTCACCCTCATCTCTCAGATTTGAATGAAAATTGGTACAAGGGGTAATCATAGGCTCCAAAAACACCTGTCAAAATATCAGACTTCTCAGATCAAAACTTTTTGAGTTACATTGCATAATATTTTCTAAACTTCAGATTGTAAGGGTGAGTTTGATGAGCTATAACTCAAAAACGAGCTAAGCAAGCAACAAACGGTAAACAGCTTTGAACTAACGATGAATCAAAGATTAATACAGTATTTTTAAAATTGGAAAGAAAAGCTTAACATATTGAAAAAGTCGTAGTATTTTTTTTTTTAATTGTCTATAATGGCCCTTGGGACCAAAATTTTTGCCATTTTTATTTTTTCAAAATAAACCTCAGGTCCTTTAAAATCGACATGCAAAAAATTAGAAAGGTGTTCTTTCTATAAGTTCCTCATTTAAATGTATACAAAATGAGTTTCCGGGGGTCGGTACGACCCCAGCTCGCCGTTTCGCCTCTAATGGAGCTAGAACCTTGCGGAAAAAACGAGCATGTGCGCCGTTACAAGATGCATCGAATAATACCACATTTTAAGGTCTCGGGTTCATTGGTGACCCCTGAGGTCATTTCAAGTGACCCAAAATACGGGTCCGGTTTTTGATAGATAACTTCGCAACAAATGGTCGCAGAGCCGCGATTTTAGCATCTTTGTGTTTGCCTAGCTCCGGCGCGTCGAATGGTATACTGTTTGTTCTGGTGAAGTCAGCTTAAGTCGCTGACCTCGGGTCAGCACACTGCCGTGTATTTGGCTCCGCGCCCCGACCGGGCGGCCCAGCCGGCAGCCAGCCCCCGGGCATCACGTGACCGCTCGAGTCCGCGGCAAAGCCAACCAGCGCGGCGCAGGACAAACAGCGCCGCTACAGAGATGATTAACAGTCGGGTCAGGTCACGAAGCTGAGTGAATGAGATCATATTGCACATCATTCGATTCGCAATGTCTTTCCGAGTCCATTGGTAGCTTTCCCGTCTCTCTAGCTCAATTTGATCGAGAGTTATTGACGAAAAACTCTTATGACCCTAGTGACGTACGAATGACGTCACGAAAGATCAACAATGCAAAAGTGAGGCGAAAATGACTTCAACTGAACTTTCAGTAACCAGTGATGTCACTAGGCAGCTTTACCACACCATTTGTAGGCTCTTTTCCGAAATCACAATTCGAGACCATTACGGTGACGCAAAATAAGTACATTTATAGAAAGAACACCTTCCTAATTTTTTGCATACTACTTAAAAATGATCCAAAAATGTTTTTAAGTAAATAAAAATTCAAAAAAATTTGGTCCCAAAGGCATAAAAATGCAAATTAAAGAAAACTCGAGGTGTTATATATCAAAAATAGTATATATTTCAAAGTTTTTAAAATGCATATTATTCTTTGTTTCAATGCAAGTTCAATGCAGTATAGCATTTGGCATTTGGATTATCCGTCTTAGAGTTACAGCCCGCCAAACTTGGGGCTGCAACGCAAGATCCAAAACATGCTATACACTATAACTCAAAAACCACTCATCTGATAAGCTTGAAATTGGTACAGGAGGATTCAGAGCCCCTGATTACCCCTTAGACCAATTATCGTTAAAATCCGAGAGATGAGGGTGTCAAATTCGAAAAAAGTGGTACGATCTACTTGCTTACTTGGAGGCTAATGTACCGACGCAGCGTGGCGTCATAGCGACATTCGCATGTCATCGTGGACGCGTGCCCCAGTCACTCTACTCTTACCTACTCACACCACATGTCAAACAATCCGTTCCTGCCACACGCCGCGTGTGCCATGTGGTCCCAGGGTCACGTCACGTCCCCCGTACGTCACGCCCGGCCGTGTTACGCCGCGGCTCGCGCGCGAGTGCGCCCCGGGGACGGCTGTGACGTCAGCACCGGTCGGCGGAGGTGTTGCGACACAGATAGGTATCGGGTGAGCGGCCCCGCACAGAGCCTCTTTGTTGCCGTGCTGATTGAGCTATTCACCTCTCGTTTTACAGCGGATCTGGGTTTTGTTTTACCGCATTATCGGAACAAAGCTGCATGATACATTAGCTTTATTACATGACTGGGAGTTACCTCCGTGAAATGTTTCTAATGTAGTTGCCGTTTTCCCGTGAGAGAATGCGTTGCTATAAACCTGAATGCCGTAATGTGCTGTTGACGGCAAATTGCGTCGGTGACAGACGGGCTTAATTGTGCAACGCCCAGGCCGCCGTGACGGATAATCTGCCGCGGTCGGTGGCGTGACGGCTTTCGTGGCGCGTATGGTGTCCTGTCTAGCTGAGGATGGCCAAGGGTTCCTGTGACCGTGCTGTGACTTTTCTGTGACCCCCCTTATAACCGCGTTGTGACTGCCCCTGTGACCTCCCTGTGACGGTAACCGTCCTATGACTTCCTGTGACCATGCTCTGACCATCCTGTGACCGCGTTGTGACTGTGACTGTTCTGCAGCTGTCCTGTAGGCTGTGACTGCCCTGTAGCTGTCCTGTGACCGTCCTGTGTCCACCCTGTGACCGCCGACGGCCGGCGGACGCCCCCGGACACGACCAGGGGCCGCTCCGATGGCCGCCACGCACGCCATGCGGCCGGCCGGCTCGCAGGAATCCGGCCGGCACCGCGCCCCCCGCCGGCCTCTGGAATGTTCTGACCGGATCCCTCCCCTCTCTGTGATCGCCAGACTCGGTCTACATCGAGAGCAACCAGAAGGACCAGCCCTACTTCATCTGCACCATTCAGGACTTCCGCCGGGTGAGTCCCCGCCGCCCCCGCCCCCGCCCCCGCGCGCCCCGAGCGGGTACTATCTCTCGGAATGACAGCACTCCACGGGGCGTGCAAAGGTCACGGCGGTGCTCACTTCACACTGGCCCCGCGCCCGGCGCGCGACTCAACCGGTAGTGGCAGCGAACGGATTGACGCAGGTTTTCTGACATTTGACCTTTGATATCGCGCTGATAGTCAGGAGGAAAATATATGGACCGTTACGTGAGGGTGGCTCGTAGTCCAACATGAAACGAGCGCGTAACGTCCCATTGTTCATGGAGTGGTTTCATGCATAAGTTACTAGATTGGTTTGGTTTGCAGCCTTTACCTCGGTGTGTAACAGCAAATGAAACACGACGCTTGAGTGGACTGTGGGAGGGCTAATTTTGGCAGAATCCTGTTTGGATGGGTGTTGTAATGGATTCAATTCGTACCTACTGACCTCTGTTGCGTTGGATGGTGTTTGGTGCGGCCGGCTAACATGAGCGTGAATCGTGAGTGTAAGTCATGATTGCTAGTGGCGATATTCGTCACGATTGAGGTCACTCACGTAAGCCTTTCGCAAAGGCGACGCTTATTCCGTGATTGGAACCCGCTGGTACATGCCAGAAGCATGGGTCGGGGACTCGGGAGTGGTCAGTGCAAAGCCGGTTTGGCTGCCGATTGAGTGGTCTGTTTGAGTTGTGAGTGTGAATTTGTGGCGCTCGTTTGGCTCGTATCGCGTCGATAAACGGCGCTGATGTCCGCTGCGGCCTGCGGCTCACACCGCGGCGAAAGGCACAGGCAAACGGCCGGGAAAGGCATCCGGACGCGGGGGGCGATGCTAATGCTACTGCTACCTCCTGGCGCGCTAGACACCGTCGACTGTTGCTGCTTTACCTCCTGGCGCGGTGGGTAGCGCTCCACAGAAGGTAGCTCCCGGCCGGTGTCTGACTGGGCAGCTACAGCGGCAGGCGCTGCGCCGGTGCCGGCCGTCTATTTAGGGCCGGGATTAATGCGGCGAGCCGGTGCGTTGTCGGGCCGGGAGGTCGGCCTGCTGGCCACCGGCGGGCTGCACGGTACCGAGGCGGGTGGCTAGAGCGACTCTCAGGCACCCGGCGGCGGTGCGGCGGACGGTGCAGTGCCTCCGCCCGGCTATCGATTGTGCCGCCGAGAGCCGCCGCTGGGGACCACGTGGTCGGCGAGGACAGGTCGCCGCCGCCGCCGCGGGGCTTGGCAGACCCACAGCGGCTGCCATCGGCTGGCAGCTGGTGTCAGGACGCCACTGGTAGCCACTCTGTCCGCGTCCCGGCCCGTGGCGGCAGAGCTGACCGCCGACCGCGGCTCGGAGTGGCGGTGGGAAACGGCCTGATGAATCGCCGACCGCCGGCCGGTGAGGCAATCAGCCGCCGCTGGAGCGCGGCCGCACCGGGCCGACGTCCGTCCGGCCTGCACGGAGGGCCGGCTGTTGAGTTAATGAACTCGGCTCTCTGCGGAACATTCCACCGCGGACAAAGTCGCATCTGTTCTAGTCAATCAATTCCAATTCCCTAAGCTGATAGTTGTCGGCTTTGTTACGGTCATCACCTTGATTTTTTGTTCCTTTTCCCACTCGGATCTTTTTCCCCTGTTCAGCATTTTCGCTGAGCGTTTTAGCGAATCTTTCTCGACCCTTTCTCTCGCCGTGCATACTACTGAGCAGTGTGAAGGCCGTTGGCTAACCGCTCTGGCCCCGCGCAGTGTTCTAGCGGACCTTTCTCGACCCTCAGCTGGGCCTTTCTCCTGTACTTGCAGTTTTCTCTCTCTGCACTCAGGTCTCAGCAGACCGCTGTTCGCCACTCCGGCCGGCGGAAGCGTTCCGTCACGGTCAGTGCGGCCGCCGGCCGGAGCGGACGGTACGGCGCCCGCTCGAAGTCCGGTCAACCACCGCAGCATGCATGTGGATCGAGCTGCACTGTTACGCGCCGTGCAGGCTGGTGTGAGGCTGGTGCTGGTACTGGTGATGACACTATTAGAACAGTGGTGTGGTGGTGATAACTGATAGCAACTGCTAAAGAAGCCGAACTAATCAACAGAGACTGAGAAACGCCTAACCACCATAAAGGGCACGAAGGGCTGGCCATGGTTATTGGTTACGGAGCGAGCGAAGCGAGCGGAGTCTTTCTTTAGATTAACGGAAATTTCTGAGTATGAGCGGCCGGCCGGCCGGCCGGCCGTGCGGAGGCTTTTGCGAGGCTTACATATATCTCAGCAACCACTTGACCGATTTACACGCGGTAATTTTTGTAGGGTAGCTTCATTCCTTCTACCAAGTATTGGACTATTCTCGATGCATGTGGGTGACCCCTTATGCACGTGCCACGTGCAAAACGAAGAGGTGTCAGTTTTGTAATTGTTGCAATATCTCGGTAACTACTTGGCCGATTGCGCTGAAAGTTGGCATGTAGGTAGGCGGTAGGCAGACAACTGAACCAGTGACAACTGAACCAGGGACAACTGAACCAGTAAAACTGAACCAGGGACAACTGAACCGGTGACAACTGAGCCAGTGACAACTGAACCAGCGACAACTGAACCAGTGACAACTGAACCAGCGACAACTGAACCAGGGACAACTGAACCAGTGACAACTGAACCAGTGACAGCTGAACCAGTGACAACTGAACCAGTGGACAACTGAACCAGTGGACAACTGAACCAGTGGACAACTGAACCAGTGGACAACTGAACCAGTTGACAACTGAACCAGTGGACAACTGAACCAGTGACAACTGAACCAGTGACAGCTGAACCAGTGACAACTGAACCAGTGGACAACTGAACCAGTGGACAACTGAACCAGTGGACAACTAATGTCGTACTGCGCTGTATAGGTACCTATAAGGTAGCGCGTGGCTGGACGGACGGTCTGTGCCAATCTGCCGGTCTGCCAATTGATCTGTGTCCGATCTATTAGAGTGTCCGTCCGAGAGCCGTACGACGGCAGACAGGGCTGACAGAGCCTGGTGGTCGCGAACTGGTGTGGTAACCGTTACGCCCACTTGGGACGCCCGAATAGTTAGCAACGTATAAAGAATATTCACTTTGATGGCCTAACTCGGGACAGACAGGTCACGCAACGTGGGCTTGGCAGAGTTCAGCCCGCCTGGGCCCAGAGGAATCTCCGGTATATGAATGGATTCACTGCTCGGGCTTACATCGGGCTTACGCCAAACGTCGCACAACTAGGGCTAAACAACGGCTGTCCTGAGCTCGCCGAGAGGGCATATACCTCCGGTAGAGCATGGGCTTTAGTCGGCGTTTTTGTGTCATACGCCGACTTTAGTCTTTAGCCCAAGGGCTTGCCGACTTTAGTCCAAGCGCTAGCCGACTTTAGCCCGACTAAAAATCTCGGGCAAGCCACACTTCAGCCTGCTTAGTCCAGGAGTAAAATTGCTTGCTGGGCTACTGGTTAGTGGTTCAGTTGTCACTGGTTTAGTTGTCACTGGTTCAGTTGTCACTGGTTCAGTTGTCACTGGTTCAGTTGTCACTGGTTCAGTTGTCACTGGTTCAGTTGTCACTGGTTCAGTTGTCACTGGTTCAGTTGTCCACTGGTTCAGTTGTCATACTGGTTCAGTTGTCCACTGGTTCAGTTGTCACTGGTTCAGTTGTCTACTGGTTCAGTTGTCCACTGGTTCAGTTGTCCACTGGTTCAGTTGTCCACTGGTTCAGTTGTCACTGGTTCAGTTGTCCCTGGTTCAGTTGTCACTGGTTCAGTTGTCACTGGTTCAGTTGTCCCTGGTTCAGTTGTCACTGGTTCAGTTGTCCCTGGTTCAGTTGTCCCTGGTTCAGCTGTCACTGGTTCAGTTGTCCCTGGTTCAGTTGTCACTGGTTCAGTTGTCCTGGTTCAGTTGTCACTGGTTCAGTTGTCATGGAACCAGGTAGGCACCCACTAGGCACTGCATATCCATGTGCCAGAGTTGGGGTGCTGCTGCACGTGCGCACGTGCAGGGGTCGTTCCCAGATCTCGAGAACGGCTGGACCGATGGCGCTCAAATTTGGTACACGGTTAGGGACCAGTTAGTAGGGTGCCGTGCACAAGTCAGTTGGGACCCATTTTGCACGTGCGCACGTGCAGGGTGCCGCTCCCAGATCTCGAGAACGGCTGGGCCGATTGTGCTCAAATTTGGCACATCGCTAGAAACCGGTCAGTAGGGTGCCGTGCACAAGTCAGTTGGAGGTACCCCCTCGAAATTTCGCACGTGCAAGACTCACCCCCTCGCTCGCTCCGTTAGTCGCGCCAAAAGGCGCTATACTGGTCAATATAAACCACAGTCACGGCGACACCGAACTGACGGATAAACCAACTCCGAGCTGACACGGACTCGAAATGTCAACCGTACGTCGACCAACGCTGAGTCGATGGACAAAGACCACCTGGCCGCTGCGCCGACCGGTCGATCCTTTCGACCCTCCTCAGTCCCCGGGGACTCGTGTGTCGTGGGACGAGTGAGGTGGTCCGCTGCCACCTGCATACAAACACTCTGATATTGGGCGGGTGCTAGCTTCCACACTTACGACGCCCTGACTAAGCTCTAATCAGTTTAACAGGCCGCTCACGTGTCCAGTTTAGCCGGGCTCTCTCGGGAAAACAGGCAGCGCTCCCGGCGGCCGCTTCCTGGCAGCTTTCGGTGAATTAAATCACGTTTCCGGAGCAGTTGGAGATCCTTTTTGTCGGTGAAAAGCTGTCAGCGGCGGCGACGGCCACGGGCCGATTCAGACCGGTTCGCGAATAGAACCGTCGCCCGGCGCCACCTCCTCACGCTCGTGCACACCGCCCAGTTAACGATGTGGATACAGTCGAGCGCGAAAACATTTGATCTCTGACGATGTTTTCCATTTCCAATAGTGGCGCGCTGAGCGGCTCTCAGCATGAAAGAGAAAGATCGTCAGAAGTCGGACGCTTCTTTAACCACATTTCAGCGGACTGCTGAGGAGCAAATCCTTTCCCATTCGCGAACAGCTTGAGT